TATAAATAATGATTATGATTATTAAAATGACTAAATACGAACTTGACAAACATCACTTTGGACTTATTTCGCTTCAAACAAACAAAATTAAATCGGACTATTTATTTTTCCCATATATCTAATTCTGCCGGTAAGCCCGTCTTTAGACGGTTTGCAGGTCTATGTTAAGAGATTATGTTACTTTTGGTAGAAAGAACAGGCAGTGGAAATTTGCCAAATGATTAACATTTATTAACGCCAGGATCAGTATTAGAAATAGTGAATAAAAATTGGTCTGCTACAGGATTAATACATGCCATTCTAAACAAACATAGGATAAGTCTATATCTATACTAATAAAAAAGACTTACTGACTTAAGTATCAGAAAAGTACTACATTTGGTGCAATTTCGTGAAAGGATAGAGGTAAAATAGGGTAGGTCGAATCAAAGTTGAGAAGTAATCCGTATAAAAACTTGAAATTGGTTTTGCAAGTATATACATAAGTATGTATACGAAAAGTACTAACCAGTACTAAATGTGTGATGGAATCCTGAAATTTGAAATTACATCACAGTCGGAGTGTAGCATTAGAATTTTCAGTATTTTGGAGATTTTGATTATATTTTTTCGCCCAATTAGCTGTAATTTAGTATTTTGAGTTCTTAATAGGTCCCAAATCTCTCCACAAAAAATTATGAATATATGTCAATTTTTTTCGGATAGCCCCCATATAAGGGTACCCCTAATATTCGGTATTTTGGGGTTCTTGAGCGCATTTTTCAACCGAATTTTCTGCAATTTGGTATTTTGTAGTCGTAACAAATCTCCCTACCAAAAATTCCCATATAACCCCCTTTTTATATTAAAATAGTTATCTGATTTGTTCCTCGTTTTTAGTTTGGTTCTAGGACTCTGTTGTAATCATTTCACCTGCTGAGGATAGCGAGACAAAAAATTAGAACGTAAAGTACGATAATGAACTATAGCCGCATTTAGACCTAGCATCTGTGTGGAGGTTCCGGAAGAAATTATAAGGTGGGCAAAGTTTGGATGAAATCTAAATTTTCTGAAACGGATGGGGTATAGAACCAAAGTGTATACACCCTCATTCTGAAATTTGTATTATGGTTTACATAATACGTTTTTAAAAATGTCGGTATGGGTCCACTTTTTGGTATGTTCCCTATATTTTCATTTCTAGAATCTGTCAGTATATCTATGGTGGAGGGTATCCAAAGTTCGGCCCGGCTGAACTTTACGGTTTTCACTTGTTTTACTTTTCATTTAAACATTTTACTTTATGAGAACACACGCTTTTAAGAAACAGATTTCTTATATCCGATAATTGCACATAAGAAAAAACTCATATAAGAAAGAAATCTCTGGCCTTTTTCGAGTTTCTTATAACCGATATCTACTGTATTAAAACTACACAAATAATGAACCTAATTTAAAATGAATAATTTAAAATAAAATTGAAAATAGTTGAAAATTTTTTTTTTTTTTAATTTGATTGACATTGTATTGAAACTATTTTATGTGAGAATAAACAAAATAATTGAGAAGTGTAACATTGAATGTACACGCGATCATTGTAGGTACACGTTTTCACATAAAATTCACGTACATTTTGCGACAAATGCAAGAATGGAAAATCAGATGACATTCTGAATCGAATTGTGCTTGCCTTAGATTATTTCGGTTGAAAATAATAATAGTTCCCAAGGAACATGTTGTTCCTCAAAGTACCTAAAATGTTACTATGCTACGGGAAATATCAAATAAGGTGGTATCATGATAATAAGGTGGTATCATGTCTAATCGTTGATCAATAACTTTGAAATTATTAACACAACACCTCGCATATATCACAAAGTGGCCAATATTGCTAATTTTTAGTATACCAAAATTACAGCTTATTAAGATTTAAAACGTGCCCAAAACCCTTTAAGCATGGAAAAATGTGGGGACTATTCGGAAGCATGGGCGAATATAAAATTACAGCCAAATACCGAATAGTAAGGGATAGCGTTTTGAGGGCTACCCGGATACTTGGGCCAATTTTGATCATTTGAAGCAGTGCGACTTTCTGCTCAATGAGCGAACCACTATTGAACTTTTTCAATAGGAAATACTCTAGTATTTGTTGACCTCTAATCGGAGTAGTAACAATGAATGTAGAAATTTCAAAGTTCTATCTTAAATCGTTGAGGGTATAAAAAGCTTACTTAATATTGAGGTACCATTACGTGGAAGTCTATAAATATATTTGGAAACATTTAATAAAAACCGAAAGTCAAACTTATATGTCTATGCAAATTTATTTTCCACGAATTCATGTTCCACCGAAACATTAGAAGCCAAAAATAGCAACAAGTCTCACTCATAAACATTAAATTGCAGATATGGTGTACTTTAATGTCACTTTATGTGTGCTCTGATTAATTCCAAGGTATTACAAACGACCTGTACTCTCTACCTTATAGAGAAGGGCGTAAAAACAAATCTAAAATGCAGAAAACTATACGTCAAAAATTTTGCTAAGGCAAGACAACGTTTGCCGGGGTCAGCTAGTAAATAAATAAAATTCAGTCGCAAACTGAGCACAAAGGAAAAGATCGACCCTTTTGAGAAGTATATGTATGTACACGTTTTCCATTGAATGCACGCAAATTTTGGAACAAATGCAAGGGTGGAAAATCCACGGGAAATATCCAATCAGGTGGTATTATTTTATGGTGGTTGTATGCCTAATCGTTGGTCAATATCTTTGAACTTATAAATACAACGCCGCACATATATCCGATGTATCACTGTGAAAGATCAACTGGAAGGATAAAAAACTAACAAAAAAACAGAAATATTTAAAAAATAGCCAAGGCTAATATCTAATGTGAAGTTTTTACCAAAAACAATTATTATAACAATGAACCTCATGACTACAAAATGTGACTATACAATTACTTTTTATACCTTCTAATACTTAGAATCATTAAAACGGACGTGACATTTATATGAGGACTATGTTACATCTACCCGGATACTTGGGCCAATATCGATAATTGTGAGTAGTATGTATCCCTAATATTAAAATAGAAACAATTCTACTGAAAAACGTTTCAAAATATCGAATATTGGGGTACCGTTATAAAGGTGCAACGCTAAACAAAAATAACAACAAGACTCGCTCAAAAACATCAAAGTTTAGATATTCAGTATTTATACCCTACACAACTATGTTATGTTATGGACCAACCTTCACGAAATTTTGCATGTAGGATGGGTTCTGGCCAATGAAGACCCCTATTGTCGGTTAATATTTAAAGGAACGCGAATTTTACACTAAGAAGGGGATTGAGACAATGAATAAGCATGCCTGTTTTGATAAAGATCGGTCAATATTTAGCAGATCAAATGGGCCCTGACTTTTGTGTGAAAAATTACAAAATTTGTATTCATTGGCGTATATATTTACGCCTGAAGGACATAGACCCAAGAAGTTGACAGTAAGTCCAAGAGGTGTGGCTGACCTTTAAATTGATACCAATTATATTGTCGTAAGTACTCGGATGTGTGAGTTACCCTTGAATATTTACAGGTGCTTACGTATTGGTATATTATTTAGTAACCCATTACCACACTAAAGGGCGGAAATATAGAGCTGATCGCTTTGAAGTTTTACATGAGGTTCCAGTTATGGCCAGTTATGTTTTTTCGAGTCGATCTATAGGTCACAATTGATAGTCGAACATCATAACACAACCCACTGTAAAGGAAATCAGGACAAGTAATTAGAAGGCATGTACTGAATATTAGTAATATTTGTTGACCTCTAATCGGTCAAGAGGGTGCAACTATCGCGAAATATTGCCCAAGCTCAGAATGTAATACCACAGAAAGTTAGATTTTCGTGGAAGTTGTGTAGGGTATCATATAGTCGGCGACGTCCGACTATACTGCTCCGCTCTCTGGTTTAATCTGGTTTTATGTCAACTCTGATAAATACCATGGTAATATAAACAATCTGTACCCTTCATTATATGGTGGAGAGTATATAAACAAATGTTAACTGCCGAAAATTATACATCAATGATATAGCTTAGACAAGACAACTTTTCTGGGTAAGATAGTCTGTATATAAATCTTTATTCTAGGAACAATCTGGTGCCGTGTATCATATTACATCTAAGACGACTTTATACTCTGCACTATGAGAAGGACATTTATTATACCTGTAATCTTTGGGTCTTTTGTGTATGGCGAGCTATGCCTTGGTAAATTTTCTAGAGAGATCCGGTCCAAAAACGTCTTCAAACTCCCCAAAATACCGAAAATTTGGGGTATTTGAAAGGCATTCCAATATTTATAGTAGCAAGAAAATGTATTACCAAATAAACACTCAAAATACCTAATTTACGTTCCCATGTTATAAAAAATTAAAATTTTAACACGTTCAAGTGGTTTGAATTTTTTTATATATGTAACATATGAATGTAGTGACGTCAAACTTTGTTCATATTAAATCTGTGCAGGAAAAATAATTTTATGGCCATGGAAAAAATTCGGGACTCAAATATTAAAATTTTTTAATTTTTATAATTCATACATGTGGTTTTAAAATACCGTTTTGAATTATACTATTATTTAAATATATTATAACATGCTTGATATCTTGTATTTTATTTATTAACTAAAAAAAGATTTCCGATGTAAAACAAGTAATTCATCGAAAATACTTACTAATATTTTAAAAAGTCTTCTAATATAACATACTAAGTATATATACAATTATCAGAAGTTTAAATCTTAATTCTACATTATTTTAAATAATTATAACCTACATTGTTTAATGTTGTTAATCTTTACAAAATAAAGGGTGATTTTTAGCTATTATCTTTTTGGCAACATTTAAAATAAGATGTAGATAATATGACTAGAATAAACTAAATTCATATCTATGCGATAAATTACAAAAGTAAAGCTCAAAACAATGGAAACATTTCGAAATAAATACTTAAACTAAAGACATGACTGGGGTTACTCTACTTTAACTATAAAATCGTCGCAAATCTCTGTAATTTCGTATGCTGTCAATCAAAAGGCAAGAGAAAATGGAACCAATAAACTGTAAATGAAGGAAAGCATTAGAATTTTGTATCAAATAACAGTACAGATATACCCACCTCGGTCACAATGATTACCCAACTAAGAATATTAAAGTACTCAACTTTTGATTTGACATATTCACGATATTTGTCGGCACAGCCGTCCTTGTATAAATTAAATATTTTGGTACAATTGTGATCTTTGCAGCAACTTGTTGGTGGATATTTGTCAAGGAGGTAATAATCTTCAGGGCTATTTTTGCCACAGCATTGTAACTGAAATCATAAACAAAAACGTACCAGCGTTAATGTTATGGTTGTATTTCAAAACTCTTCTTACTTACCCATTCCTCATAGAAGGATAAATTTTCGCTAGGTTTCAAATGTAGCGGATCCCATAGCTCATCAAAACCTTGCTCCAGCTTCTTCGAACCACTATTCAGCGCTGTATAGCTAATGCTCACCAATACAATTTGCATTACCAGCAATGCTATTAACAGGACAGTAAACTATAGATGCAAACAAAGGAAATTACAAAATTAGTTTTAAGGAGTTTTTATAGCCCGATGAATGTTTACTTACACTGATCAACATATTGGAAAATTCAAAGATGGTTGCCACTGTTCCGTAGATGGCCGTAAATATTAACACTCCTCCCAAGGTCATTATGACAATGGATGCCAATTCTTCGCCATGATCAAATTTTTCATCATCTACACTTTTGTGTAGCCATGATCCGAACCACGTCAATATGGAACCAAGAATCTAAAATGAAGGCAAATATGAGATCATTTTTAAAAGTGTATAAATTAAAAGTTTCCTTGTGTTGATTGTGTGTAAGAGGCGATTTTAACCGCCATATAGGACGAACCTCATAGCCGACGTCATTGGACATTGACGATATTTTCAAATAGTTAGCTGAGAAACATTTGAAGCAATTACAATCGGCATTTTGAACAAATTTTCCAGTGAAGAAATTGAAATAATTAGTTTTCATTATTTATTCCAAAATATTTCTAAAACTAAAAAAGTTTGCAAATAGTTAATTAAAAAATTTTATTTTCTTGTTTGAGTAGGCGTAATCCGATTGCCATATAAATCACAATATTTGATATTGAATGTACTCAATTAAACATTAAATACGACAAATAAATAAACGACTGTGATCAGTAATTAAAGATCAGAAGTCTGACGGGCCTACAATATGATACCCTTCACCAATTTTGATATATACAAGAGAGGATCCTAAGATTCCTATTGTTAGTGAGATACATACCATTTAAACTATGTACAACAAACGTCGTTCTCAATCTGATATATATATACAAAACTTAATGTGAATTGGCCTGACTTGTGTGTTTGGTGTACCAGAGCGGGAAGAGATATATATGAAAGGAGAGATGGTATTTACCGGGTAAACCATTTAGGTATTTACTATATTGAATCGCTAATACAACATATTACATCCTATTTCCGGATTTCTGTTATCAAATCGATTCAAAATGGATAGTTTAAAATACTTTTAACACGTGGGTGCTAGTATAAATACGGATTATTTACCGAAATATTGGGTGTAGACTTATTAACTGACAAGCACTTGGCGCCGACTGGCAAAATTTGGCTCTCATGTTTTAAATCTTAAAACGAATACTCCATGTTTTGATATAGCCCCCATATAACCGTATTTCCCGATTTAAGGTTATTTTTGTCTTTTATACATATTGTACAATCAAATTGGTTGTAATTTGGCACAGAGAGTTATCAATGAGTATCAAATATCTATGCCAAAATTTGTCGGCGTAGGTCCATATTTTCTGGTGGCTTCCATATAACGGACCCCGATTGGGTAAAAACTATTAAACGGCTGAACCACTTGGCGTAGGTTAATAAAATTTCGTTCACATATCGCCAAAATTTTCGGTATGGGAAATGGGATCTTCAAAATACACGTCAAGTGGTTCGCCAGTTAATCCACAATTACTGTAAATCGTCATTCAAGATTCAATTCAGTATGGTATGTCCATTGGAGCTTTGGTTTACCATTTTATAAAACTTCACTGATACTAAATATATATGAGTCAAACATATCACTTGGGTGAACTAAATCTGAAACCTATATATCGAATTTCAATGGGGTTCATCCTTCAGCCAATAAAGTGGACTGGGCAAATTTTAATCTCATCCGTATCATAAATGCGACCCCTTTTTGTAATGACCATTATAGGTGTGAATTCTTAAATCTTTTTTATAAACTATTGCATGCTTGGAATTTTAAAGAATTCGTTTTTATAGAACAAAAACTTCGAAGAAAACTATAAGGGTACATTAAAAAAAAATCATGGGCCATTAAACAATTAGCTCTATTAAAGGCGGTGAATTTGTAAACAACTGTTTTTTTTTATTTCATCCGATGTATCCGTCACACTTTCCGACATCATACGCTACAGTATAGCATAGTTCCAAAAGAAAAAAGTGACCTTATTCCTATATTGAATGGTATAAAAAGGTAAGCCTGGTCGAACTATACACATTTTTCCACTTATACGACATTAAATTCAAATTAAATTCAAAATTTCCACAAAATCGATATTTGAAAAGTGAACATTTATTCCATAGCCTATTGTCAGATTCACACGAGTTTAGCATAGCGTAACGAACTGATTCTAGAACTGGGATTTCAGGTTTACTTTAAAACACTTCATATTTTATAATTTCGCCAGGTTTCATTTATAATGGTGCACGAATCTGCCAAATTTCTACGATATTTTACGTACTTTACAGACACTTTTATTTAAATTATTCAAATTAAGAAAAACATTGTAACCCTGTGTAACTTAGAATTGTTTATAAAACACACTAATCACAAATATGACAACATACATACACATGTGTATGTATATGTAGTATTAGCCATCAATGATTCATAATAAGAAGAAAAAGATGTTTGAAAAAATAAAGAAACTTCCGCAATGTCTGCATTGATAATAGAATATTTTATTTGTCCAAACACACAAACAATTAAGAAAACATGAGCATTCAGGCACTTCAGGTAACATACAACAAACAGCAATATTTTTAACACACAACTTCTATCGCAATAACAACCGGTAATTTTCGAATTTTGTTTATTTTTAAAATATGACGCGGCGCTATATGACTAATTACTTTTTGGCCTAGCCATGGTCGGCGGTCTATTACAAGACTATTTTTTTTTTGTTTATACAATTGCATCATCGTCAAATTACCCCGAAATACACTTACCGCACAAATCACATTCAATATAATCACAATTATCTTGTAGGTCGGTTTAGAGATATACATTTTGATAATCTGCACAAATGAGCTTGAACTTAAACTAGAATTATTCGTTTATAAGCGATTTACGCAAAACAACAATCGTAAAAATTATATTTGCATTTAATAGCATTTGCTTATCGCTTGGACAGAACACATATTTTGAAATAAAATCGTATCGATCCGCAAGCACAGAAGCATCCGTTAAAGATTCGCGCGTTGTTCGAACTAAACGCCAACATGTGACAAATACTCGGAGCGTTCCCTCGCCGAAGCAAAAAATTGTGTAAAAAATTGTTTAGCCAAATTGTTAAGAGAATTTCTCTCTCGGTGAATGAATAGAAAATGACTTGTCTTTGTTAATGACACAACTAACTGAAATCTCAAAGTATAAAAAACACAAACACTGAGACCGCAAATGAGAGACCGACCAACAAAGTTTGTTTTGATGTCATGTATTAACAACATTGTCGCATGTACGCATATACATACACGACTGGCACAGTGTTTCAGGTAGCTTGATCCATGGTACAATTATTCAAGGCACGCCATAACAACATATAAATTACAAATATTTTTCATATTGTGGCTTGTTATGCCAGAGTCGTATTCAAAATGTGTGTATTTGTTATGTTTTGAAGAATATAAAAAATTCATTCTAAAATCAATTTGTTTGCAGATGAATTTTGCAACATTGGTAAGACGAAATTTATGATTTTTGAATCCACTCTTTTCAACCAATTTGGTATAAAGGGTTCTGGAAAAGTTGATTTGATTTTTTTAAAAAAACGTTTAAGTTCCATTATAGGCGGTTTTTTTAACAAATCTATACCCATTTCAGGCTTGAATGTATTAAAGAAAATCTAAGGAGGATTATAGGCATGGATTTTTAAGAAAAAATTTAATAACCTTATAGGCGAGGATTTTTTAAAAGAATATTGATTGACCGTAATAGGATTGAATTTTTTTACGAAGAGCCGTTTTAAGTTTGAAATTTTTTCCATCGACCAGTTTAAATGTGGATATTATAATATTTATTTACCAAGCTGTTGGCCAATATAATAATTAGCTTCATTTTAAGATATTTTCGTATGACCAAAACAATTTTTGCGCGCACATTCCAAAAATTTGATATTAAAATGTTAAAAAAATTGTAATATTGCCCATTAGCAATTTAAATCATAAATTTTCCAGCTATAAAAATGTTCATTCCACTGTGCTTTCACAGACAAGATGCACTGCATGATAGCGCTAAAAACAATTCAGAGGAATTATAATCGAAAGTGAAACATTAATTTATCTGTTTGTGTTTTTTTTTTTTCTTCACACTCTTGAAACATGTTGGATGTTCGAAAGGAAAAAAAAACAAAAAATGACGAAAGTTCAAACAATGGACATCTTTGCTTAATGAAACTTGCCAGGGACATAAAAAATCACCGAAGAAACATTGTCATAGCCACTAACATAATTTTAATCGATGTTCGTTGTAGTGTCAAATATAGCGGAAAATTAATAAAGAGACTATGGATCACCAATTTCGGATAGGGGGAGATAAACACATAACATACGATCTATTCATCCATCTATCGCTACACCAAAACCAAAACATTCTTCAGGCACTCACTCGAACAACAATTCAATGGCGGCAGATTTCAATAAAAACAGAATCATTAAAATGTTGAAGCATCAGACATACGGACCAACAGACACCTGATACAATTTGTGGGGTATGAAAATGAGTAGGAGGTTGTGGTTCAGAACTTTATCGATTTGGAATTTGTGTGTTCTGCAGTGGAAATCCAATGATTTATAGTCAATGTCAATTCAATGCAATAATAGAATGAGCAATTTTCGTTGTCTCTTTAGGAAATTGCTTATAAAAATTATTTTGAATGGGGAATTATATGACAATTGAGTTAAATTTTAATGTAGGAAATGTGCAAAACGGAATAAACTTCAATGGAATGTAAAAGTAACTTAATATAATTAAAAATGCATCCATGGATCATCAGTGTAATATAATCCGTAATAAGGGGAAATTGAATACCGTAGATGTTGGGTAAATCTTCCAAACTTAGTTTAAGTTCAAAGAATTCTGGTCCACTCTTTCTGGTACCTCCCCCACAAAGGGTAAACATTTTCAATATTTATAAATACAATATCAGGCGACTGGAATGTCCGATTTGAACTAAATTTTGCACAGCTTGTTATCCTTTCCAAGTCTAGATCAAGTAAAAAATGGGATCTATTGGTCCACCATAAATTGTCAAAATTGTCAATATCTATAAATCCATTATTAGGCTAATAGAATGTCCGATTCGAACCAAACTTTGCAAAACCCATTTTCTTTACGAAGTCTAGATCATGTTCGAAGATGGGTTCCATTGGTCCACTCCTTCTGGTACCTCTCCACAAATGGACAAAATTTTCAACATTTTTAAATCCAATATCAGCCGAATGGAATATACAATTTGAATCAAATTTTGAACTATTATCATTACAAAGCCTAGATCACGTCCGGAGATTGATCCCACTGTCCTACAGATTTAGATATAACTCCCATATATATTTTCGTCCGATTTTATGTAAATGGTGCACTAAAGTCCCTATATATCTTACGATTTGCACGAAATTTGGCATAGCTTAATGAATTAAGCCTAGAATGATGTGTGCTAAGTTTCGTGAATATGTTCGTCCAATTTAATGTAAATGGAGCACCAAAGACCCAACGTTATGCCGATTGGAACAAAATTTGCACAACATACAGAAGTTACTATAACCTACCGTGTGTCAAGTTTTGTTGGAATAGTCCGATTTTAAGTAAAAAGAGCCAAAGCCCATTAGATATTTGAATGACATGTTTATGGATAGATCCAAGTTGGTTCACATTTAGATAAAGATAAAAAAGATAAAATGATCCTTCAAAAATGCTACGTCTGACCGGATGCATCTGTGTAATATACCCATAGTGGTGAAGGGTTTCATATAGTCGGCCCGTCCGACGTTACTACTTTCCTTACTGGTTTATTTGTTTAATTTAGTTTAGATGAGAGGAATCACCCTCCAAGAGCCCATAATCCCAAACTACAATGTAGATATGTGCCCTAACTTTAATACTGTCAACTCTATCGTGACATACATACGGACATGGCTAAGTTGCATGGAAATATGATTTCAATCAAGAATATATACTGTCTCTAGTGGATATTTCGAAATGTTGCAAGTATAATAGAGGGTATAGAACTTACGATGGTGGGTCACCATCTTCTTTTCAGTTAAATATTGTTAAATTCGCCAGGAATCTCCTAGTTGTTATTGTTTTTATATAGTATACCAGAAGTAAAAATCATACAATTGTAAAACACACAAATTATGTTATCCGCTTCCTCCTAAAAGTATGCTGCGATATCAGAAAATACAACAGAAAAGCTATGAATAGATGCGAACCACTTATGGACAAACCGACGCACATGGAATATACGAGTACTTAATCAGATTCTCAAATTTTACAATATCTCACACAAATTATCGAATATTATTATAAGAAACAATACAAATTCCAGGATCAGCTCTTGGTAATTATAATTAATTAACTATATACTAGCCATAGATCGTAAAACTGAAATTATATGTATTTCGTTAAATCTAGTTGAACATTTAAATGTGATCAAACATTTTCAATTTATTTCATATTTTTATTAGTTTATAAACAAATTATTTTTATTAATTTCATTATTAAGTTATTTGTTTTATAAATGCTTAATTGCTTCGATAATGTTAATATTATTAATTAATCTGTTCTCGATACTAACATTATTACAAAATATATATGAAAGTCTTATTTAATCTAATAAGAACTTATTGTAGGCACTTTATTTTATTAAATGTAAATTTATTTCAATATAACAATGCATATTTATTAGAAAGTCTTAATCTTAACATCTAAACAATTAAAGATTTTCGTATTTAAAATTAAAATAACAAAAAATAAATCAAATGGAAAATACAATATTTATATATGCAGCAACGTCAATTCCTTCATACAACATATATTTTTCAATTTCCTGATTTTATTGAAATAATAAATTTAGGAAACTATTTCAGACAAATAATAAAAAATTAAAATTGCAAAAGCGACAACTTGGCATTAAGATGATGATAATTATTACGACGGTGATGGTGCTGATGAGGTAGACAGACTAGCGAGTCGGCAATATCGATCGTTTTGTCTCCATGTAGATCGACGATATTCCATACGAAATCTGTTTCAGTAGTTGTGGCGACATTGGCAGCTTTGATGAAAAAACAATGAAACTGAAACTATTTATCTTTGGTCTTTGTTGAGACAATAATATTAGGTTTGTTTTCCGGCGATTTTCCCGAAAATGCGTTCATCGAAATCGAGCCAAATCCACTTAAAAATTTATTGATCATCATTGTTTTAAATTGATCATAATGAGGATCGGCATATTAGCTTCTATAGCGATCATGATGTTGTTGTTGATGATGATGTGCGTCACAGTTTTCCAACATTTACTTGGAGTAGTATTTCGAACGACGCCAACGATTCACAATGCTGTTGGCCATAACAAATGCAAATGTGGCACAAATTAGCTGAAATTATAAGACAAAGCAAAAAATTAGAAAACAATCTTTATAACAAATTGCCTATGAATGTACAGTGGTTCAAAGGAATAGAACTTTAATATGACGATAACTAATGGTGATAATATGATCAAGGTCTTTTCCAACATAATTCACATTTAATCGAAAGATAATATAAATGGAAGCTTTATCTTTACCTAATACGGCTATATCTATGACCCACTGTGTGTATTTTAACATAATGTCGTCATGACCACCCGCAAATAGGAAATAACAAGGGCAGACGACACAAAATTAGCCGAGATGTGGATGATTCAACATTTATGCTACAAACACTAATCTTGTTGGTCAAATATACCTATGTGTGTGTATTTTTATACATACATGCAAATAGCCAAACCACACAACTTACCTCAATGACAACATAAACGAGAACGAAAATATTCAAATATGTCCAACTTTCCGAAACGAAATTCACAAATTTTTGACGGCAACCTTCCATATTCAATTTGTCTGTTTTCGAATCATAGCAGCTGTGGGGTGGTAAATGATAATCGACGGAACCAGTGTTTCCACAACAGCTCAACTAAGGAAATACAATAAAATATAAAAAAATAATAGTAATAAAAGTAATTATTCGATCACAATTTTGGTAAGCGGCAGCGATCAAAGCCCACTAACCAAAACGCAATTCCGACTACCAACTTACCCAACGTTCAATGTTGGCAATATGACTGCCATTTTCAGGTTTAATCGGCGTTGGTTGGTCGCGCCAAATTTCATCGAATGCCTTGTCTGCGTTAATCAAAAACGATGTTTGGAATATCCAAAAGAAGCCGAGGATGATAACATGCGTAATGGCCAAAATAATGACAATCAAAGCAAACTAAATGGAGGAAACGAGAGACAATAAAATAAAATATATCGCCAAAAAAAGGAATAAATTATGTCAATTAAATTGATAATTTATTGTTTAAACAATTATATTAGTTGATTTAATCATACGCCACTTACAATTTTCAAAATGGTACTCCTTTCGCGAGCAGCACCCACGATGCCAATTATGATGAACAACAACACGGCCGAACTCATGCCGACCAGTGTGTAACCGACAGTATCAAATTTTTCGAATTTGATTAGAATAAAAGCTCCGAGTGCAATTAGGGCTATTGAAAGGATCTGGAAAAAAAGAAAATTGTGAAGATAAATAAAAAATATACAAGTTAGCGTATAATTAATAATATCTATTATACGACATGGTATCCGTACAACAAATATGTATGTCGAATGATAGACGAATAATGACATTATACTTCTCATCAAAGAAACTTGTGGCGATGAGATTTTCTCCATATTAATTTGATATGGTGCATAAAAATACAAAATATTCAATATTGATTCCAAGCTGATCAAAATGAATTTGAATTGATAGAACAATTCGAAAAAAAGATCGAATAATACTTTACATTTCCACCAACGAAGAATCTCATTAGTTAGTGTAGTTTGTTAACGGGCTGCAATAACGTTTTTTGGAACAGTGGTAATGTCTTTTAGGTGTTATTTTTAAAGGATGGCGGCGCCAAATGAGTTAATAACAGTAGGTACTGTTAGAAAGGACCATTCCAAAAAGTGAAGTGAATTGTAAAATTTCAGAAAATATTTAAATTGACTATTTAGAGCCCTAATCACAAAATGTTCTTGCATGTTCTCTTTAAAATTTTTATTACAAGACACATACAAATATATTTGCAATAGGGTAATAATAACAGCAATGCTCTTGACCAAAAAAAATCTAAAGATGGAATTTGTTCGCATTTTGTTATAAAAACTATTAATTGTTCACTGTCGAAATGTCCTTGTAACACATTTCTTTGAAAACAATATTCAACAATAACACAAATATAAACCATGCAAATTATCTCATGTCGAACATTAAGAATAAAAAAACAACAACAACAAATCGTAAAACTAGTTCAAAATGACTTGTCGTTATAGAAACAAAAAACGCAAATTACATTAAGATGGTTACAAATTCATATTGCTATGTATATTGTAACAAAAAATGAGGGACTGAGAAATTCTTTTTGTATGATTTCTTTTAAAGTAAATCCACGATACTGAGAATAAACAAGTCTTAAAAGCAAATAAAGTAGCCAGAACAAAACCCCTTCGAAGGAACTCCTAAACCCTTTTGTCGCAAAGTCGCTGTCAATATAGATATTTTTTACGATCTGTTGTCTGAGAACAGCTGACCACAAAACACAAACATATAATGAACTTAGCTATTAGGGAACCATGTAAAATGTATAAGAACAATCTTCGCAAAACATTTAAGAAAAATTACCAAAATATGGCATCATGTATGAAAGAATTTTTTACTGAACTTCTTGGCAACAAATGAAAAGTAAAACACCATTGTTCATAAAGTTCATATCACAACATCACAAATAAGGCCTCGAATGGAATATATTTTTAGCCACACAGTGGCCGTTATCGGTACTGAGGCTACCAAAGTGTGAAAACGATGTAAAACATATATGGGAAGTAGATCCAAATTCAGAATTACAACTACTTCGGTTGAACGATCATCAAATTACCAAAAATAGAGACCGAATTTGCATGGGTGTTATATTAAAATATGGGCCTGTATTGGACATTTATTGGGTACTAAATGTCTCCCCATATAACGGTACCTCCTAATTTACAGTGCTGGTCGCAATTATGATCCGATCTAATTGAAATTTGGCACATATCACTTATTTGGCCCAAGGACGAACCCTATTGAAATTAGAGAAAATAGGTCCAGATTTGGATATAGCTCACATATATTTTTTCGACCGATTTTATGTGAATGGCGCACCGCAAATTTAGTAGCGAGTATGGTATTTAGTCTAGAATGCGTTTGTTAATTGAAATCGGTTCAGATATAAATATAGCTCACATATATACTTTAGTCCCATTTTATGTATATGGTTCAACATAGATCCTGTTCTATTTGAACAATATTTTGTTGTTTAAATCGGTTCAGATGCATATATAGCTTCCTCATATATGTTATTCCGATTTTATGCAAATGGAGGAGCTTATGTCTGTTCGCTTTACATGAAATATTACATAGCGTATTGGATTGAAGTCGTTTCAGGTTTAGATATAGCTTCCATATATATTTTCATCCGATTTTATCAAAATGATATAACAAATAACAAAAGTTTGTCCGCTAGGGACGAAGTAGTGTACAACGTACCAAATCTGTTTATTTGTTTGTCCTTGACCATAATTGGAACTTCATGGACAATTTTAAAGGAATCAGCTCTATATTTCCACCCTCTAATATGGTAATGTGTTACTAAATAATATCTGAATACGTAAGCACCTGTAAATATTTAAGTGTAACTCCCACTTCCGAATAGATACATCAATATAGGTCAACCACTCCTCTTGGATATACTATCAACTTATCGGGAGTAAATATATAAGTCATAGAATTAAAATTTTGTAATTTTTCACACAAAAGTCAGAGTTCATTTGACCCGCTAAAAGCAGACATGCTTATTCTTTGGCCCGATCCCCTTCGAACCATAATTGCGGCCTCTGGAGCGACCAGAAAAACGGACAAAAATTAAGTATTTGGTCCATTTTATCCCCTAAATATTAACCGATCTAAAGATCAAAAACAATACAGACGGACGAACGGACACACATGTCTAGATCGACTCAGCTAGTCGAGATATGATGATCTTGGGGCTGCACAAAACTATAATACCCTGACAACATAGCTGTGTAGGGTATAATAACGTGTATTGGATTTTTTGTCGAGATAAATTTTGGATAGCGCACTGTGTTGCAGCATACCAAATGGTGGATGCCACGGTTTCTCAAATGCGTCCATTTACATATAGATTTTATACATATTTTTCTAGATGATTGACATTCAATTTTTCATAAATTTAAGATTGGTATGTGTATGGGTTGTTTTAATTTAGTTCAAATATCTATGTACTTCACACAGTTAATTTCGTCCGATTCCATTTCAATGGTCCTCCAAAGATGTTATGTCTATTCTATCTAAAGGATATTGTATGCCGTAAATATTCACCTCGGGAAAACAAGATCTGGAAAATATGATAGGTAAAAAAGTGGAGCTGATGACCTTTAATCGGTCAAGATGGTGCAAATATCGCGAAATATTGTCCAGGCTCGGAATATAGAAACGCAGAAGGTTAGAATCTCGTGGTAGTTGTGTAGGACATCATATGGTCGGCTCCGTCCGACTATACCGCCATTGTTGTTTCATTATTTATTTCTTTTTTATTTTATTTATTAATTTTTTTGCTAATAATCATCCTTTAAAGGAATTATCAGTATAGGCCCACTTCTAAAGTATAACACTCAGTACCTTCCGAATTTTCCTATTTACGAAAATTGAATATACTTATTTACTTTTGTGCCCTTTAGTATTGACAGTTTAACGTTGTTTTCGTACCGAAAACAAAAAACCTAAGTTCCTCTTAAGATTTAACCCACATAAACTATAATCGTAATAAGCAGTAGAACTTATACAACAATAACAACAACATACCTACTAATATTATTCTCATATATTTTCAGAAGTGAAAGCTATTAAACACTCTACAAAGGAATAAACATTTCAATTCTTTATTGTTGTTAGTCAAATTAATAAATATTTATGTGTTTCTAATCGAATGCCGGGTGTGACTCATTTGTTTCGGATTTGCATCACTGATACGAAATATCTCGCAAACAAAAACCCAACAAACTGCGAAAATATACAATTTCCCAACAACAATACCGCATCTGAATAAATGGCACACTTTTGTTTTGTATTTTTTCTTTTTATTTAACAATTTGTGTGATTTGCGTACCCGATTTGTGTGAAAAGGTGAAAAACATCGAAGTGTAAATAGACAATGTTCGAAAATAAGAGGGGTAGTAATGAAATTAACAGTCTAAAGGGATTTTCAAAAAAAAAAAAATGAAATGCTTTTTAAAATTTCTTATGGGGTCATTTGTGATTGCGACAATTGATTTTTATCGAATACGAAAGATTCATTTTTACATTTAAATAATCTGATGATTGTTAATATGTTAACAAAAATCCATCCATTACTTGGTAGGTCTATTTCGTTTATCTCATAATTATCATGATAATAGTTCTATCATAATAAATGATTGTCATATATATGCATACAATATACGTCAAATAGATCATTATAGAACAGTTTATTATGATAAGTGAAACCTCCTCCCACCTCGTTATTTATCTTTCTACACAACCCTAGTTGATATACGAATGCCAAGTATGAGTAACTCGCCAATTGCGTACCCACATGTAAACAATCGGACACATGTACCACATCGGACCAATGTTGCCTTATTCTGGCCATTTGTTTAAAAAAAAAAAAAAACATATTTATAGACGAAGTAATGAAATAATACACGTTTAGGTGTCAACATAGACAAAATGTCAGCAGTGACAGCAACAGCAGCAGCAGCGCTGAAAACGACATCAACCCAACTCTGCAAAGCATAATGACCACTGAAATCGATTTGTAAACTGGTCGGTCTTAGACCATGAAAATCAAATATATACATATAAACATGCTCGTACAAACTTATTTAAGTATTGCAACTAATGTTGTAAACATGAGAAAGTCGCGATGGCGTCTCCCAACTTCTATTATCGATAGACAACAACGATTGACAAATGTCATTTGTCGATGGACATTCCAACAGATTTTGATCACTATTGCGCGTGTGTGTGTGTGTGCGTGCGACGTTGCATGCATAATTTAATAACGCTAATAACAATAAATTATTAGCCAAAAAATGGACAATGTCACTCGGTAATGCATTAATAAAACAAATTAATTGAAATAAATCAGCAGCAGTGGTTGGTAATCAGTTAACAATTATTTACACAAATCAACACCCATGTACGGATAAATGAATGGAATTGAGCTGAATGTTCACTTTGTATTTGGTCATAATTTGTGTCGATGTGTTGGTTTATGCTTATGATTATGGCTATAGATGAACGTGTGCCAAGACGGAATCTGACATACCAAGTAGTTTGTAGTTGGAGAATCACATGCCAATTGATTGACTCGATTTGAATTCACAACGACATCTGATAATTTTTTGTTTTCATTAGAAGACGA